GAATCATGACCTGAGCTGAAGGCAGACGCTTAACGACTGAGCCACCCAGGCGTCCCAAGACCAAATATTTTTTGAGTGAAGGCAATGAGTGCCTGAAAGAGATGTGTTGCTGGCTTTCTGGAAGCCCCATAGTTAGTGAATTTTAAGCAAAGAAGAGTTTCTTTAGAGTACAGATAAGAGGGAGAAAGCCTTCAGGGCAGGAGAAGTTTAGAATTGTTGGCCAAAAAGAGATTAGTTTAGAAATGTTCGCTCCAAGCAAAGTACAAACCCAGACAAACTCTTGAGTTGGCTTTGTATGGACATTAGGAGAGTAGTTTCTATTTGAGCCACGAAGGCTGAACCCATAATTCAGACTGAAAGAACACTTCTGCTTCAGAGATGAAGGGATAAAATGGCTCTGACCTAAAATGGGGACCGGCAGTACAGAACTTTGAAATAAACTGGAGCAGGCTTCAAAGCCTCCATAGTGGGTGAGATTGGGCCAAGCCAAATTGTGTGGCATGAGATAGTATCTACAAATCTTCCCTAGTGCTATCTAGAGAAGCACTGACTGTGAAAAGTCATTGTTGGGGCACCTGGGTGGCTCAGTCATTAAGCGTCTGCCTTCGGCTCAGGTCATTATCCCAGGGTCCTGGGATCGAGCCCTGCATCAGGCTCCCTGCTTGGGGGGTGCCTGCTTCTCCTTCTCCCACTCCCACTCCCCCTGCTTGTGTTCCCTCTCTCGCTGTGTCTCTCTCTGTCAAATAAATAAATAAAATCTAAAAAAGAAAAAAAAAGAGCCAAAATGATGTCCTTTGATCCATTGATCCCAGTTTTGTTATACTGTCAACCTTTATAGAGTCCCTTCCATATGACAACATTCTGGGCAGAGACATCAGAGATCGATGTTGTAGGTTGTGCCCTTCAGGAACTGACATTGTGCAGGGGGAAAGCATACAAATAATTTTTTCTTTCCAGCTGACTTTGAGGGGCTCCCTCCTCACCGGAGCGAAATGGGTCAAGTAGAAGAGGGTGTGACCAAGTGTGTTTCTGAGATGTGCAGAAAAGGCCGTGTAGAAAAAGTGGAGTGGAGAGTGGAGGGAATTTGCAACACTATGTTTCTTGACTAGGAAAGGGGGAAGACACAGTGTCCCAGACAGGGACTGATGTCTACTTCATGTCTTTCACAGAAAACATGGTTCTGAGGTGGACTCTCCTGCTTCTGCCGCTAGATCAGACTGTTTTTTTCCCAGGCCTAGCGCTTCTTCTTCTTCTTTTTTAAATTTTATTATTATTATTATTAT